GGATGGCTGTCTATCCTTTATAAAACATATCTGGTCAGGATGTAATATGTATGTATTATAAAAGGAGTGTTTTGGCAAGGGCTTTACAAATTATTTTGACGTCTCCATTTATTAATGATATTGGGTGGTAACCGGATGGAAGTACATAATCTTTTCCTTGTTTTTGCAGTAGAATAATATTAGCAGAGTTCGAAAATTCTTTGTAGAACTCCGTTGGAAAACCATCTGGTCCTGGGGCTTTATTACTGGGCATATGTTGTAGAGCTTCAAGGAGCTCTCCTATTGGCAAGTCCAAATCCCTGGTCTCTTTATATTGTATTTTTGGAAGGGTGATATTACTAAGAAACTGATCAATATTACTATCCTGTGGATTATTTTGAGACGTATATCAAGTTTTATAGAAGTCTCTAAAGGTTTAGTTGATTATGTCAGAATCGTGGGTAATATTTCTTTCTGAGTCTTTAACTGAGATCATTCTTGTTTTCTCTTTGTTTGTTTTTAACTGATTTGCTAAGATCAAATGCTCAAAAATCTTTTTTCATAAACTGTGTTCATTTATCAAAAATTAATTTTACTCAAGTTTTGCTTTCCTCAATTCCTTCAATATTTCTTCGTTTTGGAAGCACTGTTGGTAATTTCCAGTGATTTGATCCTGAGTTCTAATTCAGACATTTTTTAGCTTTCTTGATTTTTTCTAATTAGATGAAAAATAGATTATGCCTTGCATTAAAGCTTTCCCTGCTTCCCAAAGAGTACAGGCTTACATTCCTGGTAAGTCATTATTTTATAGATATACAGACCACCCTCTTTTAAAGTAATCAATAAAAGGGCCGTCAGCATTTGGGCCATATAAATTAGCAATGTATAGGTTCATACCTTTGATGGACAGGTTAACTATTATAAATCTCCCCTCAGAGTGTGTAACTGCTGTTTACAACAAAAGTTACTTTCCTATTTATCTGAATAGCTACTCCTCTCTGCCTGGAGTTGTAACCAGTGAGGAAACTGCTGTGTTGAGAGCATAACCTGCTGGGTCTCCGGTATCCTGAATCCCTCAGTTCCTTGGCTCTTTTTAATCTGTTCTCTCTGGACCCGGCTCGATGCACATTCCATGAAACAAACCTTAACGTGGACATGCTCACTTAATGATTGACATTAGAGTGAGTGAATGCATCCATCCATTTTCCATCGCTTATCCGAGGTCAGGTCGCGGGGGAAGCACCCGAAGCAGGGAAACCCAGACTTTTCCGCTCGCCTGCCACTTCTGCCAGCACCTCCGGGTGGATCCCAAGGCGTTACCAGGCCAGCCAAGACACGTAGTCCCTCCAGCGTGTCCTGGGTCTTCCTCTCGGCTTCCTCTCGGTGGGACATGCCCGGAACACCTCACCAGGGAGGCGACCAGGAGGCATTCTAATCAGATGCCCGAGCCACCTCAACTGGCTCCTGTCGATGTGGAGGAGCAGCGGTTCTACTCCGATCTTTTCACCTTGTCTCCAAGGGCGGGCCCAGCCACCCTGTGGAGGAAACTCATTTTCGGCCTCTTGTATCCGCAATTTCGTTCATTCGGTCTCTACCCAAAGTTCGTGGCCATAGATGAAGGTGGGAACGTACATTGACTAAGTAATCAAGAGCTTCGCTTTTAATCTCAGCTCTCTCTTCATCACGACAAACAGGTACAGCGCCTGCCCCAATCCACCTGTTTATCTCCCGCACCCTACCCCCATTCGCCGCAAACTCCCATGCACCCTCCAGGCACCGATGAGGGTATAGAGCTGATCCAGCGTTCCACGGCCAGGACGGAAACCACACTGCTCTTCCTGAATCTGAGGTTCGACTATCCGATGGACCTTCCTCTCCAGAACCGCTGAATAGACCTTCCCAGGGAGGATTAAGAGTGTGATTGCCGTGTAGTTGGAACACATCCTATGGTCCCTCTTTTTGAGTAGGGGGACCACCACCCCAGTCTGCCAATCCAGCAGTCCTCATCTGTTTGCTCCTGAATCCCAGAGAACACAAGGTTGTCCCTTATACTGTGGGCCTGGATCTCAATTGTTTCTTTATTTTTTTGGTTTTCCTCAGAAACACGGCTAATTCCCTCAGTGAGGGATTTCACAGACTCCCTGACGGTCAAGTTGTCTGCAGCTAACGACTGAACCTGTTGCTGGCTGAACTTCAACGACTCACGCAGTGCTTGGAATTCTTTATGGAGAATCTCTAATAGAGACAACTGAGCATTGAAACTGGACAATTTGTTTTTTGTGTATAGGCCACATGTAAATAGCACATTTAGACCATATTTACAGCCTACGATGCGCCTTTTGTCATTCATACAGCACTTTATAATGCATGTTAACAACTTTTCTAAGCACTCATTTGACTACAACCCCTTGTTTGGCACATCAGTTCGGCACCTGCCAAAGGACAGTGTGTAATGTGGACGCTTTTTTCATATGCATCATATTCATATGTATTTGGTCCGGTTGAGGTCTGATGTCATCGCTTCTCCTCCTCAAACTGCTTCCCCTGCACAAAGCTGATGCCAATAGTCTCACCATTTGCATAAGCACAGCTATTTTACTCCAGTTTCATTCCTTGGTTTGGGACCCCCTTGTACTGAAACTCGCTCCTCTGCGGGTGAAGGCAGGTGCAGAGGAGCTTTATAACAACTCTGAGCGCAGAGCCATGCAAATCGATGCTGGAGGGTGCGTTGGGGCGTGATGAATTGAAGAGTTAATCGGTCAGACATCTCTAATGGCTCGACATAGGAATGAAAAATAAAGATAAATTAGTAGGGAGAAAATCTTCGTCTTTATCCATCTGCCAAGGCCTTTTGTGGTATTGATTGGCCCGAAGCACTTAAAGCCTGATGTATTGTCAACATTTCAATCTATTGCCCATCTGAGTGCATGGTCACAGTTCGACAGTCTCACTGGGCTGTGGCATAGATAACGAGCAGTCAGAGGAGTGGGTGAAACCCTGTGATTGCTGATGTGTCTACCGCAGGTACAGCTTTCATCTTACCCACTATTAATGCACTCGGTTTTCAAGCTCAGACAGCGTGGTGCTGCAGTAAAAAGTAAAGGGCTGCTTTCAGAGGGAATCATTCGGGCTCTGCTGACTGTAATTACCACTCAGAAAGCCAGAATGACTTTGTTGCACGCTGGGAGGCCTCCAGTTACACTTTGAGTCTCTGTGTGCCTCGCTCATTTAGATTAGTGAGTGAATATTTAGGCTGTGTTTAAGGCCTCCTGGAGCTACTGTATGGATTTAATAAAAGCGCCAATTGGGAGACGGGGAAGATATTTATTCACCGTAAGGCTTAATAAAGTAAAATCTATTACATTTACAGCTAATACGATCAAACATTAGTTAACATAAGAATATTTAGTATATATATTACTGTGGCTGAGCTTTCTTTGGTTTCTAATTTGATAGTTCCCTAGGAGATCTTTACATATGTAAGCATTTTCACACTAAATATTCAATGTTAACCATCCTCCAAGTCTTTGATTATTATGTGTGGTAGTGTTCACAGATTAAATAGGGAAATTGACTAGGTATATATCTGAAGCGTCTGTACAGCAAGTGTTCGACAAGTCTGTTCTGCATTCATCATCAGCCCGAGAAAGTTTTGAAAAGTATTAACCACATAGAAATATGCAAACCAATAATACTCGTCTGTTTTGCCCTTTAAAGCAGCTGGAGTGGGCTGATGACCTAACATGGCCGCACTGTTAAATATGTTAGATTTTCTAAAGTCAAAATGCATGGAGCTCTTTCCAGAACTGCAATTGTAATATCTTGGCACCGGTGTGGTACCACCTGGAGGTCACATCACAAAGAAGTAGCATGTGTTACAACCAAAACAGATGCCCGCCTGTTTTTTAATTTGATATTAGCGTGTTGTTCATATTTTCATTTACATCTGTTAGGATTTGTATGGAACTTGTCCCCACATATGCATTCATAAATGCATAATCAGTGATTCTTTTCTACATTTAAAGATGGTACATGTTGTTGTATTTCATCTTGAGCAGCCTAAAATCATATTATGTGTAGTAAGGTGCAGAAAGCTCAAAGCCTTTTTCTAAATCATATCTATAACCTTACAGCTAATTCGGTGTCCACTGTTGCTCAAGGAACTTTTTTCATGATTGGAATTATATGCTTCACATTGTCTGGATGCACCTGCGTACACACACTGCACTCAGAAAAAATATATAGAAGACTAAAAAGAAAAGGCAGAGCCACAGCAAATCAAATCCTTGTTTTGAGGAGAGACATTATTGAATGAGACTAACAATGTGATCAATCTCCTTCGAGAGATTAAACATGGCCAATTTGATTTGGCTGTTTAAAAAAACAATTTTCCTCCTTTTTATATGTGCTTCCTGTTTGTTAACTTTACTATTTCCTTGTGGTTCTTTTTTCTCTACAAACTTTTAGCTTCATTAAATTCAGCCCAAGCCGAATGGCTTCACAGCAGAATGCTTGTTATCGCCTAAATGTATCAAATATGGCTCTTAGCTTGTATTATCGATGTCATGCATCAGTTCGGGTCTCTGTTTGTCTGGTGAGTTCAGTATTTTTCTGCTTTTTGTCCTCTGCCTCTGTGTATGATATGCATGACCTTTCAGTGCAGAATAGAGGGTCTAAAGAACTCTTTTTTTTGTTATTAAAACGGGCTTCAACCTAATCCTGACATTTCCCTGTTGGCGGCATAGATAAAAAGCTTCTGCTAATAAGTAATTCTCTTGAAGTTCTGATTAAATAGTTTCCTATGTCAAATGCCACACAGCAATGCATCCTTTCTGATCGATGTTTGATGCACAGATACAGAGTAACAGGAAAGCTTATTCTATTTTTAGTGGATTTAATTGAAACTGCCTGTATCTTTGTTCCGAAAAAGGACTTTGAACCCTACCCCATTGACTTTAATTCAACGTGCCACTCAAAATGTAATTGTCTGTACTCGTTTAATTTATTCGTTGTCTCTTCAGGTCGTCTTTGAGGCGATCGTTTCCGAGGAACGACAGGGCTACATTGCCTTGGACGACATTGTGCTGCTCAATTACCCCTGTTGTAAGTACCCTCTTCTGCACTGCTCACACCTACGTGCACAACCTTTATTGAGCCTTCTCCAAGTGTCCAGCCGAACAATGCAAGCCCAGGCCAGAAAGTCCCACAGTTTCTCAGGGGGGGTTGAATACTATAAAGCTTTGCTGACAAGGAGTGCAACGCAGGCGGGCACGTATACCTGGAAACTATCTGAGCTGTAATAGCACAGCGGGAGGCGCCTTTTTTGTCCCGGATGATTGGTCCCAGGCAGGTGCTTTTAAAGGTAATTTGACATCACAAGTAGGAAAAAAAAACAGTGTGAAGTCTTCTAAAAGAGCAGTCAGACCAGACAGTTCCTGGATCATGCAATGTTTTGAAACCTTTTTTTTGTTCATCCAAATCCATCACGTAAAAGTCATTCTTTAAGCTATCTTTAAGAAAAAAGCTCATTTGTGCTGCAAAGGTAAAAGCTTATGGTTAAAAATTTCTCCCACTGATCACAAATTTGACCCATGGGTACTTCTCAGACAGCACACAGTCAAGAGATCCATCCATCCATTATCGTTACCACTTATTCCCTAATGGGATCGTGGGAAGAACTGGAGCCTATCTCAGTGGTCAGTGGGCGAGAGGCGGGGTACACTCTGGACAGTCCCCCAGTCCATCGCAGGGCACAGTCAAGACATGAAATTCCTAAAGCCAGTTCATCAATTATTATCATTAATGCAAGCATAATAACTTTTGAGCAGTTATTGTGCGAAAATACATGGTTGCCGTGTTGCCAAGGAGTTCTGAACTTGTTTTTTGGCGGAATGCCTTAGACTCAAATTGGCTTTAATCAAAATGTTCAGTTGTGTTAATGATAAGAGTTTGTGGTCCATCACAAGGACATAAAATCCAAAGAAATGCAGAAATCAGTTAACTCAGCTTCAAAAGCAAAAAAACAAACAAAACAAACATCATAAGGTATTTACTACTTCATTTCTAAATTTGAAAATACTAAAAGTAAAAAGAAAAAAAACTCTGTAGTTGTTGGATCCATGGTTCACTCTGGCTTACAGTGAGAATGTGCTGCATAAATGTGGGAAAATGTTAATGAATGATAATGTGGTGTATTTATGATCTCATGAAATTCAAATATTCTTTTCTGTTGCTTGTGAATCCAGACTGGCTTCTTCATAAATCATTGGATCCTCTCTGGGAAACGGGAACTAAAATAACCCTTTCCAAATTTGGCATCCAGATTGTTTTTCTTTCTGCCAAAGCACAACTCAAGTTTACAGCTTGTCCTCTGTCAGACTTTCCTGAGTGGAGTTTGATACGTTTCCATGGTGATTTCAAGATCGGGTGTTGCCAGAGCTCATTGGTGTGCGACATAGCCTGACCGTAGCTGAGGTCCAGATGGTTGCAATAGGACCCTCAAAGAGTCCCTACAAAGGGTTACTGCAAACTGATCAACATTAACACCACCTGCCTATTACTGACATGGTTGTGATGGAGATGCATTATGTGGGCAGGTGGATCCTCTCTGAATCAGACTAGTTCCAATACATCAGTCCTATTTGGATGCCAGAAAGTTCACAGAATGGGCTAAGCCTCTTTGCCATGTTCCTCACAAGCTCTTGGGTTTTAGGAAACGCTGGTTTCACGTTAATGTAGAATATATGTCTATCAGTTACATCACTACAAATACCAGGATGTTTTAAAAAAAATGTTTTTCTCACAAACAAACAAAAACAAAGTCAAATTTTACATTTCCCTGAAAAGAAACTGCTTTGCACTTTGTTTTCTCTTTTTGTTTTTACTCTACAGGCCATATTTTTAAAATTATTTTCTCATGATTTAGATGGGTCCACTTTAACCCTGCATCATTGATAAGAAGCAAAATCAATAATTGAAGGAACATACATTCCAGTCAGAAAAGAAATGCATTTGACATTCAATTTACCTTTTCTCTCAAATATCTTCAGTGGTCTTAATTAAGGCTTGACTGGTCACATATCCTCAGCGCTGAGCTTTCAAATGATGTATTAAATTTCCTCAGTGATTATTAATTTAACTGCCATATCCTCAAAATAACGTCTTGTATGAATGGGCCTTTGAACGCTGGTCCATTTGAAAGTTTATGCTCATCTCTGTGTTTACAAGATATCTCAACGGGCAGCACAACAGCTGTCCTCCATGTGGTGTTTATTTTGCTTCTTTCCTCTCTTTTGGGGTCACTTCATTTATCTTTACCCAACATACGATATGTGTGTGAAATTACATATTTATTCTTATGAGAAAATGAGCGGCTGTCTCTGTGCTTATTTGATGAACAAAGCATGAAAAAAACTGTAGAGAGATGCAGAAAATGAGTCAAATGTGAGATGCCGTTTATGTAATTCCATTCTCAGCCAGAATTATTACTGCTCTTGCTCTTAGTTACTGTGAAAAGAGAGCATGACTGTGCTGGAATTGCATCGTGCACATCGGTGGCCAGTTGAAATGCACTACTGCTGAACAGAAAATATGCTTTTAGCAGCACAACAGGATTTGCTCTGTTTGGTTTCTGTCTGCCATATAACCACAAAGAAATAAAAATGGCTGTCTAAAATGTAAACAAAAACAAACTACTATTGCATACAAATCTGGCATTTTAAACACAGCACCAACACCTTAGAGCAAGAGGGTTCTGGATTCGAGTCTTGAGTTCTGGGGGACCCAGGACCTTTCTGTATGCCGTTTGCATGTTCTCCCTGTGTCTGCTACCAATCTTGTCGCTACCATTTGAAGTCAAATGTCAAAAGTGACACATCTGAACACTTGATCTTGAAGTCGATGGTTAATTGTTCTAATTTAAATGTTTTCGGCTTGTGAAACATTAGCACATAGACTAAACTGTTGTGATAAGTCAAGTATGTGAATTAACATTGTCTTGCTGAAATATGCAATGTTTTCCCTGAAAACACGTGTTGAAACATGTTTATAGTTCTCAGCCTTTCCACACGAAAAAACTGTCTGTTCCATGAACACGAACACACCTCTCTACCATCAAAGATTGAGGCTTTTGCATTGAATAGCAATAACAAATTTTCTGACTTGTCTTTTTTTATGGAAGATGCAGGATCTATGATTTCCTAGAATGGTAAATTTTTTATTTCCTATCATTTTTTTCTTTGCTTAATTCCATTTTACTGGGATTTACAGAGATAGCTCCACAGTTTTCAGTTTTCATTTTCTACCCAAGATTGATCAAATGTCCACGATTAGTTGTGAGAAACTCTTTCTCTACTTGTTTTAATTAATCATTTTACTAGCTTCTTCCTAGTCTAGCTATTTGTTTACAATTGCTCTTTACTTTCTTATCTTTTGAAGCTGTGTTAGTTTTTCTGTATATTTGATATTTTTATTTCAAGATTGGTTGCTTGTATGGTTCTGTGATGAAAATTGAAAACTGTGTTGTAAGATATGGGAATCACTTCAATCTCTTTAACATATTTTTGGAACATCCCAACTTTTTTGGAAATCAGGGTTCACATTGAGATCTATAATTTTAGATGCTGATTAAATTATTATGATTAGATCTGTGATTTAAAAACCTTTTCCTTCAAACAGAACAGGACCACTTTCTGATGTAGAGTGTTTTGAGAAAAGAATGTACAAATATATGTTAGGCTACATAGAGGCCTCAGTGTGTAATTATTGCACAGGCTCTGAATAGATTACTCTTCACCGCTTGGTGTATTTAGACAGCAGTGTTCAACTCCAGATGTGCCACTTTCATTACTGTGCATGTGTGTGTTTGTCTTCCTTCCACAGACAAGGTGGCTCATTTCTCTCGGCTGGGTGATGTGGAGGTGAACGCTGGGCAGAATGCCTCATTTCAGTGTGTCGCCACAGGCAAAGTCTCTGAGGTGGAACCGTTCCTACTGGAGGTGAGAGGAAGAGCGGGCGTCTTAGGGGCGTTTTTCTTTAAGTCTGCCATCCCTTCTTGAAAAACCAAAGCCTTATCTCATCACTAGAATTTTAGCTTATATCATCTTTGGATAAACTTTTTTTCAAAGCATTGTCCCTAATTTGAAAAAATATGTACTTTGTGTCTAAGTTTTGCCTCTAACTAGCATTAGAAATTCCTAAATCTAGCTTTCTTGAAGATGCAGAACACAGTTTTGTGAATTACTCCAAGTTAAACACTGGAGCAATGCACAGGACAAAATACTGGAGCTAATGGTTTCATCTCATTGTGGCGCAAGTACTATAGCACGCTTATTAGTAATTATTAGTCAGTCTCAGTGCGATGAACTGGTAAAAATGTAAAAAATAAAATTCAAATGTGATGATTTTAAATGACTGATTGGATGAAGGACCATTGAAATGCACTGTTTAACACACATCTGACCCACTGTGAACCAAGGATCAGATATGTCAGGTGTCACACAGCACCCTCCTACACAGAATTTCATTGATTAAATAAAAAGGACGTGCCAGAGCTTGTTCCACTGTCCGGCATTTGCAAGATTGGCTTCATCGACTACAATTGTGCTGAATGGAAAAAGGCTGCCAAGTCCAATGGACTCACAGCAAAAACTATCTTTTAGCAACAAAGAGTTAAAAGTAGAATTATTGGTATTGATATTACATCATCAATCACTTATCCCTGTAATGTCAGTCTCACCCTAGAAATACTTGGCAGATAATTATGTTTTTTATATCAGAATTATTTTTTTGACTCTAACAGAGTGTAAGAAAAATAATTTTTAAAAAGCCCCAAAAAAACTCAACTCATCATTTTTATTCTGAGTTATTTTTTTAAAATGTAATCCAATTAAATTAATTCATGAATTTAACAGTGTTTTTTAACCATAAGGTGGTGTTTCAACAATCTTTGTATCAAAATATTGTATGAAATGATAGATTAAGCAACTTATCTTTTCAACTGATCATAAATCCCCAAATTATTAGTTTTTTTTTAATGGAGGCAATTGTCTTTTTCATCTGAGTAATACAAAAAGAAACGTTTTGTATTCTTATTTCAGTATATCAGAAATGTTCTGCATCATTGCAGGAAAATTTGTCTTCCAAAGATTTCAGCGATTACAGTCATTTCTCACATGTGGTAACTAAAAAGTTTGAATTTCCCTCCCTGGCCTTGAAGCTCAAACATCTAAGGGCTTTTGAAATGAAGGCAGTAGAGAGAAGGCACTTTGCAAATGAGATCTCAGTATTCTTGGTGTTCCATCCCTTGTGCTTCTAGTTGAGTTTATTTCACACCCCATTTCACTGACTTCAAATCCCTTGAAGAGCGTCGTCGTGTAAAAGAGCCTCTTATTTAAAAATGTGTTTTAAAAGTTTTTGAATTTACAGACGGAGCTATACAATGACAAATAATAAGCTGCTTTTTCTTGTCATTTAAGGAAACATCTGCTGCAAATACACTCCATTTTTTACATTAAGAAGAGTAAAAAAGATAGAGAAATGCACCTAGTTTCTGTTCTTTAATTTGTTGTTTTAGACATTCTTGATCATAAACAGTGTGCTAATTGCTGCTTTTCTCCGTGATCTACTTGGCAATGTGGAGGTCCTTTCTGGACCACTCTGGAGCTGTTCTCCTCCGCCTTTTCTTCTCTTTAAGCTGTCCAATCAAATCATTTGCATAATACTAATCAATCAACATTGGAATCCTTATGCTCTTCTCCAGTGCTAAACTGCAGACGATCTCACATGGTATTTAGATCTTTTGAATTGAAACCAAAATGAGCAACCACACTAACTATCAATTGTGATGTGATGCTGGGCTTGTTTCCAGACAGGAAGTAGACTTTGCTTTGAAACCCTTCAGGTTAAGAAAACAGGAACATGAAAAGAGAAGGAAAAGTAGGACACATATAAAAAGATATTTTTGATTATATTGATACGAAAGCTGAAGATAACATGAGCTATAATCTGGTGCTTCAGGCAGCAGCACTCAGCCACTGTGTTTATAATTGCATATTTTCCAGCAGTGGTGCATTTTTTCCTACTAAATCAATGCAAACATGTGGCTTTCAAATCTACTTACTTGTGAAGAGAATGAGCGTGGTACAGCTCACAAAATAATCTGCTTATTCTTCGACAGAACTAAATATTATGTATCTCCTACGGGGAATAGCTTCTTCCGAGCGATAGCCTCTGATTTGTTTTCCTCCATTGGTTGAGTCGGTTGCCAGTTTGCCCAGGGCTAAAACACACAAAGGTTGAGAGAGTTGTGGAGGCGCCAGCTGGAGTCCCGGTGTGCAAAATGGCCATCCCCGTGTCACCTGCTTTTAGCACCGTTCTTACCAGTGACATTTAACAAATTTTGTCTTCCCATAGAGCAGATTCCAAACCTCATTTGTCTTTGTGTCTGGTTCTAATTTTTGAATCAGTTCTATGGACTTTAAGTAAACAGATGCACTCACGGATGATTTTCCTCTGTGTGCCACCAGCGGAGAAACGGCTTGGTGCTTGACACATCCTCGCTGTCACGATTGAGCCACAAGCGGCTGATGGCAACTTTCCAAGTGGAGGCTCAGCGTGGGGAGCAGGACCTCTATCGTTGCATCACCTTTTCACCAAGAGGAGCAGCTGTTTCCAACTTTGGAGAACTCATCGTCAGAGGTAACAGTTTTTTAAACATACTTACTTCTTTCGTGGATTACAGTGGATTACAGTAGTTACATGTTACATCATTCCAAGTCCCCGTTCCATGGATTTTGCTCCACACTCTGTATCCCACCTTCATTACTGAAAGTTCTTTTTGGTTTACCTAAAGTATATCTATAAACTGCAACTAGTTCATAATTCCACTGCTGGAATTATTTCCAGAACCACATCCTTTGTCTACCATATAAAATCTATTGGATTCCTGTCAAATTCTGCATTACCTAACTGCCCACTGTCAAAGCTACACTACTAACAAATTAATCATTTTTACAGAAAGCTCAGATCATCCTCCTCCGTTCAGTTAAACTGGACATAATGCTTTCAGATTTTGTCACAACTTCAAATCCAGCCTAATTTTAGAGAAACATATTTCCTTTTACCCTGGGGCTGGAGTTCTTTTGCAATAAAATACCATCATACTGTATTTTATTTCCATTAGCTCTTTCCATTTTTACACTGTTAATTTTTTAATGCTTGTGTCTTTTGCTTTTGTGAGTGTCTGGAATTAATAAAAATCTGAAAACAGGCCTGCAAAACATTAAATATGTAATCTATAGCTATGTTTACAGCATAAAATGCATTGATTTAAGTTTGGAACTTTTCACATTTTAAAGTCAGATGAAATTGCAGGTAGCTGTCATTCTGTACTATAGTGTTTAATTTAATTACACAGTGACTGAATATTTAAAATGGTTGAAGCTTTAATGAAAAAGAAACATCTGGTCAAAGGCAGAATAATGAAATTCATTTAGCTGCAAAAACGATTATTTTTAAAGACAGAGTGGAAGGCGTTCCACTGTTTAAGGGACTGAAACTGTGTAGTCTGTCATGCCACCGTTGTATAATTATCTTCTTATTGTTCAAAGAACCTTTACAGATTGATTTTTGCTTTTCGGAAACAAATGGTACGCAACTCAATTAATTGTTGAGTGCCAGTGTTATGAACACAAGTTCAGCAAAAGCACTGATTTGCTTCTACAGTTTGTCAAAGTCATGTTTACATGATAATGGGTAAGAGAAATAAATTACTTTCTGTGAGTCATACCAAAATTCATTTCTAGAGTACGTTTGAACAAAATTCAGCTTTTAAAAGATGGTCTAACATGCCATTTTATGTGATTGGCTCTGAATCACAACTACTATTTAATTTAATTTAATTTAATCCTTTTCCAAAAGCAGTAAAGTATAAGTGCATACTAACACAGACAAAATCCCTATAAAGAGCTCCAATGTTCATACCTTTTTTGTTTTTCTTCTAATGTTTGTCAGATACTTGAATAAAGTTCCAGAAGGTTAATCAGATGATGGTTACAGAAATGAGAAATAACCATCATCTGACAAAAAAGTCACCATTTGACTGACGTGCCAAAGAAGATCCAATGATTTTCCAAAGAGAGAGTTAGAAACAGCAGAATAAATTAGTTCTCATAAGAATGGTGATGATGCAGCTATACCCATAGCAAATGACATTTTTAATGTCAAGCTGTCCATGTTGAACAGTGGCGGGCAGAGTAGAAACAGCATAGATTGTCCTTGCCCCCTGAAAGAGAATAAAGAGGTCTCCCTTTTAGGATGCAGATTCACTCTGTAGAAAAACAGCATCTCTTGCTTCAAGTCTCAATAAATCATGTCAGAAAAAGCTCTGTGGGCAGGTGCTGTCACCGTGCGATATATCAATCAGCAACCCTCCGCCCATGCACACAAAGCTCCTCACCCACAGCAATGAATTCATCTCATGTGTGCTTGTTTGAGGTCGTATTATACATCTAGCCTAGAAGGGATTTTTTTCTGTTCAGAAAGGACAGAATTAGTTATGCAATTATTCATTCAAATAAGAATTTTATGGCATCATTAGAGAGAGAATTACATTTTCTTTCTCTGTTGGACTTTTTTTTCTAGCTTTCAAGGATCTGAAACTCTGAAACTTGTGCTGTCACTTTCACAAGGAATATTTTTTTTTCCTACTAAAAGCTCGAAGGAGCAGAATAATGTTATTGAAACTGTTAAACAAAAAAGAGAAACTACATGACAGGCATACTTGACTTCTCCTTTTTCTCTTGTGACTTAGTGCTTTTCTGCTTCAAAATTATTTCCATGTTTTTGCATTTGTGTTTCCAAGGACAGTGTTTTTTTCGTATATATTTCAGCTGATTCTAATGTTACCAAAAGTCATTTTAATGGCGCTATATGTCTTTTAGGTTTTATTTAATAGAAATTTTGATTTCAGTGAGCTCTAACAAAATAATATGACATCCTCTGTTACAGTGCCCCCAACGCCAATTGCTCCCCCCCAGCTATTGCGGGCAGGTCCCACCTATCTGATCATTCAGCTCAACACCAACTCTATTGTCGGGGATGGACCAGTCATTCGCCGGGAAATCACGTACCGGGCTAGCCAGTCCACACTGACCGAGACTCATGGTGTGGGCTCGCTTACTTATAAGGTTTGGCACCTGGAGCCAGACACAGAATACCGCATCAGTGTCCTACTCACCCGGCCCGGAGAAGGGGGCACCGGGGCACCTGGGCCCCCGCTGGTCAGCAGGACAAAGTGTGCAGGTCAGTCAGATAATTTCAATCAAATTAAATAGTAATGTGCCCTTTAATGGATTGGCGACCCGTCCAGGGTGTGTACCCTGCCTCTCGCTCGTTGTCCACTGGGATAGGCTCTAGCCCCCCCTCGCGACCCTGTTTTGAATAAGCGGTATAGAAAATGGGTGGATGGAAATAATAACGTTGCTGACAGGAAAGACCTTCTGTATCTCTCTTTATTGCACCAATGTTGAATACGCTCTGTTGTTTTAACACAATGTTGATGGCCAGTGTTGCTCTTTATATTAGTTAAAATTTGGAGCATTAATCTTTTAACACAAAGCTCCAGGAACATAGCTCCTTAAATGATCCATGACAATGGAACTCAATCCAGAAGGGACAATTTTAATGATTGGAAAAATCCAGAGGGTGGAACTTTCTATCACGTTTAAATCGCTTAAATCGACTTAAATTAGATACTGTATTTAATGATTGATCTGTTCTGTTCTCAGCTCGTTAACCACAATTAGGCATAAAATTAAACACAGGTCAGCATGGACGCAATAGAGAAGTAGAGCAGCCAGGCTAAGATGAATTGGCAATCATAAAAATGAAGCCACAAAGTAGTTTTGATGCTGAGGATACTGAAAAATGGAAATGCAATAAGACATGGCAGGCTATGGAATTGTAACTATGGGCCTGATTGACATAAGAAAGAAGTAAATAACAATGTTTAGAAATAGAAATCTGAGTCATTTAAAATAATTCAAGGTTTTGAGAACATGAAAGCTGAGGTGAGTTGGCTTAGTGAGTTGACTTAGCTATTAGAAAAACTAAATCAAGCATGTTGGAAATCTTGGATTTTTGGACTCTGATTCTGGGGTTTAAGTCTGTTTAAGACATACAGGGGTTGGAGAATGAAACTGAAACACCTGGTTTTGGACCACAATACTTCATTAGTATGGTGTAGGGCCTCCTTTTGCAGCCAATACAGCGTCAATTCGTCTTGGGAATGACATATACAAGTCCTGCACAGTGGTCAGAGGGATTTTAAGCCATTCTTCTTGCAGGATAGTGGCCAGGTCCCGACGTGGTGCTGGTGGAGGAAAATGTTTCCTGACCCGCTCATCCCAAACACCCCAAAGTGGCTCAATAATATTGAGATCTGGTGACTGTGCAGGGCATGGGAGATGTTCAACATCACTTTTATGTTCATCAAACCAATCTTTCACCAGTCTTGCTGTGTGTATTGGTGCATTGTCATCCTGAGACACGACACCTCCTTCAGGATACAGTGTTTGAACCATTGGAGGCACATGGTCTTCCAGAATGGTTCGGTATTCATTGGCAGTGACCCGCCCATCTAGCACAAGTATGGGGCCAAGGGAATGCCATGATATGGCAGCCCAAACCATCACTGATCCACCCCCATGCTTCACTCTGGGCATGCAACAGTCTGGGTGGTACGCTTCTTTGGGGCTTCTCCACACCGTAACTCTCCCGGATGTGGGGAAAACAGTAAAGGCGGACTCATCAGAGAACAATACATGTTTCACACTGTCCACATCCCAAGATTTGTGTTCCTTGCACCATTGAAACCGACGTTTGGCATTGGCACGAGTGACCAAAGGTTTGGCTATAGCAGGCCGGCCGTGTATATTGACCCTGTGGAGCTCCTGACGGAAAGTTTTGGTGGAAACAGGAGAGTAGAGGAGCACATTAAATTCTGCCGTGATTTGGGCAGCCGTGGTTTTATGGTTTTTGGATAGAATCCGGGTTAGCACCCGAACATCCCTTTCAGACAGCTTCCTCTTGCGTCCACCGTTAATCCTGTTGGATGTGGTTCGTCCTTCTTGGTGGTATGCTGACATTACCCTGGATACCGTGGCTCTTGATACATCACAAAGACTTGCTGTCTTGGTCACAGATGCGCCAGCAAGACGCGCACCAACAATTGGTCCTCTTTTGAACTTTGGTATGTCACCCATAATGCTGTGTGCGTTGCAATATTTTGAGCAAAAATGTGCTCTTACCCTGCTAATTGGATCTTCACAGTCTGCTCTTATTGGTTCAATGTGAAATTAATGAAGATTGGCCACCAGGCTGGTCTAATTTAGCCATGAAACCTCCCACACTAAAATGAGAGGTGTTTCAGTTTCATTGTCCAACCCCCTGTATATTTGTGATGATGAGAATATAAGGCAGAGGCATACCTTCATAATATAATGGTGTGGAAGAAGAGCACTGCTCTCAGTTCCCGCTTTTTCTACACAGTAATATCTCAGATTCTGGAAAAACTAGAGACATTAACAAAAAAAAAAGGAGTGCAACATTTGGATTAAAATTTGCTTTGATTACATTTTCTTTAGGAAACATTAGTGAGTAGGTGTGTAATAACATGTACTCACAATATAACACAAATATTGGGTTGCATTAGAACCTGAGACGAGTATTGATCAGACAGTATTGAAAAGGCAAAAGCATACGCAATTAATTCTTCTATTGCAAACGAGCTGAAAAAAGTCCACATCTAAGCTTTTTCTTTTGTTACTGTTGTCATCATCAAAATATGTAGATATTTGATTTACAGAAAAAGATAAAGTAAAAGCATTGTTTTGATTGTACATTGGATGCAGTGTGAGGTTTGACAGTAAAAGTTTGCAAGAATTTAAGAGACTTGAAGGCTTTGGAGGATGAGCAGTTGGTTGCCAGCCAAAAGGTTGGTGGTTTGACTCCCGCCATCCACAGACCACATATCAGAGTGTCATTGTGCAAGAGATTAAACCTCCCTCATTAAAATACAGTTCATTTGAAGGTTTTCTCTTAGAACCAGCTTTTTATCTACCTTTTTCTTTTTATGATAGTGGATTCAAGAGTTGCCTGGCAATTTGGAATTTCCAATCAAGCTAAAATGCAGGTTTCTGGACAGTGGGAGGAAGCCAGAGTACCGAGAGAGAACCCACGCAGACACAGGGAGAACATACAAACTCCACACAGAAAGGTCCTGGTTTCCCCGGGGACTAGGACCCTTTGACCCTTGCTGAGAGGCAATGGTGCTAACCACCACACAACTGTGCCATAATAATAATAATGATAAGAATGTACTATGATAATAGAAGAACTTTGGAACAAACAAAGCTAGTTAGTTAGTGCTTATATAATTCATCAATGCATGAAATGCAGAATATTTGAAGAGTAGTGTATGAAAACACGACAGTGCCAAACTCACGACTTTCCCGTCAGCTGTGGCTGAACTCTAAGAGAAGCGCTAATTAGAGAGCAAAAATACTCGCTAATTACCAAGATTCCACTCGAAGTAAACGTTAGACGTTAGCCTTGTCACTGCATCACTCAACATGAAACACCAGAGGATGACAAGTTCTAATTATACATGTGAATTTTACTGACTTACTGTGACATGTCGTGGAGGCTCTTACCAGAGTCTCCTCTTGCGCTAACACACTGCATTGAGCTGTTGTGACACATCACTTAACAGCTCGTAGATTGGCCTGCAGCCACAGAGAGCAAAATATGTTTTTGTGTTATCATGCCATGAAAAATGCTTTCTGGTCCTTTGGAGCTAGCCTAATGCATGATTATTTGTACATCTAATTGCGCTTTCAGTGTGGGATCGTGGGAGTTTCTTTGGAAAGCCATAGATCGTGCGTGAAGATCCACAGTTTTGAAACAACAAAGCTCCAGGCTTTTTCTTGTCTTTAAAAAAATGGCACCATTGCTGCACTGTCAAGTAGATGACTTGACGGCCCTGTCACCTGTCATGGTCTTTGATCCATTCACGTTGGTGCTTCCACTTGCCCACCCTCTGTCGACTCCTATTGCTCACATCCGAAGCTTTTTCTGCAGGGTGAAAGCAGAACACAGCAGAGGCTCTCTGACACTGAACTCTGGATAAATTTGTCTTCCTTATATGTCACAGAGAGATTCTTCTCCTTGCACAGACACTGGTCTTTTTGGACTTCCTTTAGCGTGACATTTATACCTCTTCTATTGTTAATAGAGGTTTGCTACACACATTTGCTTCATCCTATCTCTTTAGATTTTTTGTGTAGCTACAACTTGACAATCTTGGCATGACTAGAGTTGCTCCATGTGTTCCAGCACAAATTTTACGGCCTTGAGGTCTGAACTTAAAAAAATGAAAGCGTGCTAGAGCTTACAAATATCTGTAACCAAAAAGGAACTCAGGAGAAATTACACTCCTTCTTTTACTAATGATTTTAGCTGCGATAGCCATAGGTGGTTCACAGCTATTTAAGATTATAGAAGCTTGCAACCGCTCGTGTTGAGACAAAAAATGTGTCATGAATACGTTTCTCCTCATGCTCAAAGCTCAGTATGTCAAAATCTGAGTTTAGAACCTATGAAAATAGTTATGGAGCCATATCCTTGGGCTTTTGACTTTTTTCCACAGCTCATGAGCCATAAAATGTGCAACCCTTAACAGCAAACACTAAGTATTTGTGATTTCAAGCCAATAAGGATTAATGACTGTGAAAACAGGGAGATGGATGGATCCATAGTCTAATAGTTTGTGGACTCACCTACTTACCTACTTATTAGCATAGTGAAATGTTGAAAGTCTGTAGAATTGCACAGTAAGAACAGCTACAACAGATTTCTTTTTTTTTACTATTTGAGATCACCTCACACCAGGTATAAAGACACTAGGTAGGGGTTATTAAAGGTAGTCTCATTCAGCCACAATTTATAACACCACTGATAGATAAAGAGCTAAAACGACCTATTTGGTCGCAGTGCATTCTGCATTCTGACATCCAAACCGATGTTATTGTTACACCTGGCACCTAGTTCAAGGTTTGGCCAGCGCTTAGAAATCAAAGCATAGAACACATAGTCTGAGGTGTTGATGAGACTGTAAACTCAGTCCATTTATGACTATCCATAGGTTACAGATGCTGAAGAACGCTCTAAGATAAGCTTTGACCTTACTTGTCAGAGCAAGCAAGCAGCTTGTTGAAGACTTACTTGTTGTCAGGCAGGTGGTCATCTACTTTGACCACTATTTACATATGGATCATAGAAGCGTTTAAGGTTACATTGTTTCGATTTTTTTTGTTTTTGTTCTTTTAAATCGATAGTTCAAAACTAACTTAGCTCAAATTTCTATTTCTTTCGCCTGGCGTCATTCTTTTTCTATCATTTCATCAGATTGTACTGCTGGAAAATCAGGAACGCATCAATCAACTTAATTTGACTATTAGAGGATGTGCCTCAAGACATGAATACTTGCAGAAATTCACTCAAATAAGTGTCAGCTTTCCAAACCCCACATGGTTTCACTGGTGAGTATGAGGGTGTGCACTGGTAGTCTTTTTCAATTTTAACATAGCTGCTAGCAGGAGGGAAAGGCTTCAGTGGCAGCTCACTGAGGCAGCGGTTAAAGATGAGGAGGATGAGATGAAATGTGCAGATCCTCGGGGACTCTGCACCCCCCACCATTCATCTTTCTTTCCTCCAGTGCTCATCTCTTGTCTGGCTTCCCCGTCCCTTCTCCATACGCCCCCCTGCCTCCGGCTAATCCCTCAGATTAGGCTAATCAAGCAGAATGTCAGTTTGGGATAGGATTGGTTTAGGACAGGCGTGTGGAGAGGACAGAGCAAAGCCAGAGCCTGATGTGGTGCAGCTGTAATGATGAGTAATGGTTTTTGAAGCAGGGAGCAGCGCTGGTTTAACTGGATTAGACTGTTGTATGGGGATATATTGTTAAAACAAATCAGATATGAAGCCAGTTATTCTCAAACACCTTTGACAGGAAGAGAATAATGTGAAATTCTTCTTTTATGAGAATAATTTGAAATTCCTCCTTTATGATCAATTCTATGCCCGGGGAACGCTTTTGTTTGTATCAACTGTCAGAATACAGATCAGTCAAAGTTGTTATGTTTTTTTTTGCCTTTGGGAAGAACAAACATCCTTCAAATCAGCAAACACTCAGGGGATATCTCCCCTTTGTCTTGTATCTGTTCCCTCAGAAGTGATATTTCCCCCGGGACATTGTTTCATCCATGTCTGCATTAGCTTATGATCTATGTTTAGTGACGCAGATATTAGTTCCCAAGTCCAGTTTCTAGAGGGGTCTTCATCTTTGCTCTGTCTGGCGATGCCGGTCTGAGTGGAAGTCTTGAACCAATGTCTTTGTAGTACACTTGGATATCCAGGGCAGGGCCACAGGTCAGAAATGCCCTTGTGTGTGCTTGAAACTCCACACTGTGTTTGACAGGGGACATGGAGACGTGCAATCCCGGCGTTCACACATGACAGCAGCAATTAAGATGAATCTGTTCACGTATATCGCTCTCTTAGGGCCAAGCCAGAAGCCCGTTCATGTTACAAGCTGAGAATGCCGAGTTCAGTGTTTCTTCAGGCAGATGGATTTCTTTTATTACCTTCTCTCACCCCTCTTTAACCTCAAAGACTGAGTTTCTGAAGTCAGCGGCAACAGTTGTCGACTTTTTACATACTTTTATTCCCCATGAATACCAGAGAAGGTAAAATCTGCATCCTAACCTCCACTCTCACAGAATTGAGGTTGTGTAGCCTCAAAGATATGGGGGTGGATTTGCCTGAAAGGAAATGTCTTGGAAATGTCCCATTTGTATTTTCTTATGTTTATTCTATTTTTACCATGTAGCCACCAGACAATCAAGTAGAGAAATAGTCCCTAAAAATGTAAAAACAGATGGGAAAACATCAGTTAAATATCTCTGGCAAAAACAACCGCTTACCAACTATGATTATTTGGTAAGTGTCTTTCGTAATTAGTAAAGATTTTTTTTCTATTTAAAGTTTGAAGCCTTAGATTAATACTGACTGCCATATTGCACAATGCAAATAATGAATGTATCTGTATACATATTTCAAGTTAATGATTGAGGACATGGCTTTGTTCTACCAATTAGTTTTTTCTCACTTCGACAGGACTTGTTACTTATCCCTCTAAATATCAAAGGCATATTTATTCATAATAATAATTATTCATTATGGAATACATATTATGGTGGGAAATGCTTGTTCCTTAATTAAAGCTACCATGCATTGGTTAGAGCAAACAATTCAACTCAAACTGACATTTGTGAGAGCACAACATTTTCTATGTCTGCACTGTGGTTGGGGTGACAACATTGCTCATCTGAATAAGGGTTGTCCAAAAGTAAATTAGCCTCATTATTTTCAAAAACGTTGAGCTCATAAACAAATCCTGCCATATGTGGCCTGAACCAGACAGCATAACACCATTGTTACATGTAGTTGTAGTTGGATACTATTCCCCTGGGAGGTGATGACTCTTCGGCATCCCCACCCACCTCAAGCACCAAGGGTTGGAGGGGAAGAGATTAAATCAGGATATTTTAGCAGATGTTCGTATTCTAAACTGAATATCTGCTGTTGCTTTTGTGTAAAAATTGCTTAAATGACTCTTGGTGGTTCCTTTACACTTCTGCTTTTGTGCCACCTAAGCATTCGTTTAATTGGATTTCCCCCCCAAAAAAGAGAATGTGACAGATATAAAAGGATTACATAATTAAATATTGAAAAGTCATATTTGTATTGAATGTTTTTCATGTAAATTGGTGATTACTGTGATTGTTCACCTGTTGCAATCTGCTGGAATCTTAGATGATGGTGAAAGACTGTTTGGTTTTGTTTGTTTTTTTTGTTAACCTTCCGGTTCTTTCCAACTATTGCTCTGCTTTTGACTTTGGATTCTTGCTTAGAGGACGTAAACAGCTCTATCAGTAAGTTTCGTGCTTTGTGTCCCTTTTCAGAGCCCATGCGTGCCTTGCGGGGCCTTACGGCCAGCGACATCCAGCCTCGGCAGCTGGCCCTCCAGTGGGAGGCCCTCGGCTACAACCTCACCCGCTGCCACACCTACACTTTAAACCTCTGCTACCACTACTCCATGCCAACGGGGGGCAGCGGAGGCAACAACGCCACTGTCAGAGAGTGCCTGTCGGTGGATTACAACACTTCACATTACATCCTGAGGGACCTGCCGCCCTTTCGGATGGTCCATGTGCGCCTGGCACTGGCCAACCCAGAAGGCAAAAAAGAGAGTAGAGAGGTCACCTTTCAAACGGAGGAGGACAGTGAGTGGACCCTTTAATTTTTATTAATTTAACACAGTGAGATGCAAATGCGACATCATTTAATGGAGACAAGGAGTATGTATGCTTCAGAGTTCTTTATCATCATGTCTACTCAGCTTTGGAGCTTAAATTTGCAGTTGTGCCTTCATGCTGAGATCATTTTTGCGCATTGCTTACACAAATCTATGCCTTTAGTCATCCAGTCCAAGCAACAACAAAAAAAAACAACACAAATATTGACTTACAAAATGAGCTGGATCAACATAACTAAAAAGAAGATCAGCCTTTTAAATGCAAACGAGAGGAACACTAATCAGTTGAAGCCTTGGCCAAATGCAAAGTAGTAAAATGACTTAGCTTATCTTTGTATTAATATTTTCCTGTGGACATGAGCAGATTATGTGCAGTCTAATGCACATTACCAGCCAGTGGAAGTACAGAAGGTCTTCCACCTATTGTTGTGTAGATTAAGCAAGACATAATTGAATGCCACAATGATTTCTTCTTATGGAAGGAATCAAAAGAAATTATGCTCATGATCCATAGCTGTCAGTAGTTTTTTTTCTGACCTTGTGCTATTCAGCATTATGGCAGCAGAACTGAAATCCGAGTACCGTGCTATGCTGAACACTTTTGCTTTGCCAAGGGAGGCTTTGATGGTGATAAGCCCCCCTTGATTACCCCAAACTCCATTATTTATTAATCTTTGTTACCAAACTTTACATGTGTCCAATAATGCCGAAACTGATAAATGGACAGGGAAGAAAGAAGAGCAAAGAAAAACAAACCTGAAAAGGAGAAAGATCCTTTAGACAGAAAGAGAAGGACAACAAAAAAAAAGACAATAAAACCGCACGACCAAATGTTTCTTGTGGGCAATCCGGGTGGAGAACCTATAGGAGCTCCTGCAAATGGACAGAGGGAGGACAAAAATAACAAACAAGCAACAAAAGCAACACTGGTAGCAGGAGCATTAGTGAGCTTCTCAGAACTGTGCAGCAACTGTACATTAGCTTAAAGAGGCGTATCTCTGGGTGTGAGTGAAAGAATGAAAACCCGCAGGCCAGGTTTCCCAGATTGTGCTCAGAGGGGGATTGTGCTCAGAGGGGCCACCGGCTGTGAAGCCCCCCCTTCAGCACTCCGAAGAAGGCAGAGAGTGTCCCTAGACCCCCCCCAGGAACCATGGACAACAGCACACCAGCTGCCACCAGGCCCAGTCCCCCAGACACGGGCCGAGAACTGGAACCCAGGGAGCCTGAGCGCCCCCAAACCGCCCCGAGCAGAAGCCCACCCCCCCCCCCTCCCAGCATCTGAAGGGGCCAGGCACCCCAGACAGCCAGTAGCAGCGGGCCAGTTAGACCCCCAATGCCACTGACCCAGTCCCCTGGGGGCCATGGTGCTCCTGTTGGTCAGTGCAGTAGTGGGGAAAGTCTGGGTGCCCGGAGGACAGCACACATATACACACACACTCACTCTTTCACACACACACTCACTGTTTCACACGCACACACACTCTCTCTCACACACAAGCACACGCACAGAAAATATATAAATAAATACTGAGAAGGTCAAATTAATAGTAATAATATTAATGAAATAAATTGAAAAAGAAAGGGATAGAAAAAATAAAAAAGAAAGAAAGAAAGACAAAAAGTAATCAGCGTGGCTGGGTGTAGCGTGGCGGACACATCCAGGGTCAGCAACACCCCACCGCCACAGACCTAGAGCCAGCAGAGGGACCCCAGAACCCCCAGGAGACAGGCAGACCCCCTGGAAAAGGGGCTGCAAGGGGACCCCTCACCCCTCCGGCTCTATGATGGAATTGCGTTGGGGACAACTCTGTCCCTGATGGGCAGAGGTCCTCCATGTCTACTAAGAATTTCAAACAGCGGGGTAGGTGGGCTTGCAAAGCCCCAGAGCAAGGTCCCCTCGAGCAGTCCTGTCCACACGAGGGAACCTGCTCACCTGACAACACTAAGCACACCCACCCCTCTCGCCCTAGTGTGTGAGTAAATGGATAGTAATGTCTAAAGTGCTGATGATACACTGGGGTGGAAGAGCCACAGGGCACAGAAAAGAGGACCACTTAGGTGCACTCTGCAGATCCCCCATGTTCTGTGTTCTGGAGCCAGAGGGGGAGGGGTAAGGGGGTGCAAGCCGGGAGGGATATAATCCCTCCGGAGAGGGCAGTCATGCTATAAAGCGCCCAGGGCCCACTACGCACCATCAAAGTTGTTTAATGCATTTGCTAAACTTTTAGAATGGATTTAGTGTTTTTATTAAAGTAGCTGTGAAACACGTGGTAGTCGGGGAAGATGTTAAGAAAACAAAAACAAAAACGCACTCTTAATTATTTCCTCCTACACACTGCTGTGCTCAAGGCAGGAGAAAATGTATTTCCATTAATTAAATAACATACGGAATGTGACGCATTTTGTGATTCTATAGACTAGATCTGACTGCTTCGTAAGTGACTGTTTAAAGAATGTGTGTCTGAAAAAGAGTTTTTTTTTTTCTTTTTGTCCTTCTTCATATTTTACTTGATAGTTTGAATGTCATCTCAGAATCAATTTTTTGTTTTTTAGCCACCAAAGCCTGTCTTGAGAGTCCACCCCCCCTCACCTTCACAGCCACCATAATTGAGCTGCTCAGAGATACTCCTGCCTGTTTCCTGTTGGGCTCAACAATCAAACGCTTGAACAGTGAACATCTAGCAGCTCAGAGGGAGCAGATTCGGCTGTCAAGTATATGGCAGGATTGTCTTTTCAGCTGCGTTGCTTACCTCAGTTTCAGTATGAAAAAAAGTCAAGCCAGAAATGGATGATACTGCAAGAGAACAGCAATTGGAAAAGTAGTCACTGCCGGCTCACAGAGGAAATGTTACCTCTTTAACCCTTTAAAGACTGATCCAAGAATAAAACAAAACAGAAAATTACTTTTTTTTTGTTTCAAGTCTTTATTTGGCCTTTTAACAAAATATGTAAAAAGAAAAAACAAAAATTCATTTTTGATATTAATAATTTATTACTATGCAATAATTCAAGATTATTTTTTGTGTAGTTTTCTGCCCCCTGTTATCAGGTATATCTGATTGTGTACAATAGGATTTTGAGCAAAGTTTTTACCATTAAATTATGCAAAAGGTGTCAGACGCAAAACATTTCAGAAACCGTATTTATCGAATCTGATACATTTGGCATTACAGGGTTAAAGTTAAAGATATTAATAGGAAAGTGGGGATTTTCCACGTCTGTATAATTTAATGCATTTGCTAATGTGCAAATACATTAAACATACATTTCTTTTACAAATGACAGCAGACAGCACCTTCTTTGTGCTGTCAAATAAGACTTTGATCATGCAAAAATGTATGTGTAAAAAGGATCCGACTTCTCTCATGCTCATGACCTCAGTGTTCTTGAATACAAGGCTGCTAGACCTCTGTTTTTCGGTTCTTGGGACATTCAACCCTCGAACAAGTTATAAATCTCATCGTCTGTACAAGCATCGGTCACTGGCTTTGAAAACAACAAGCATGCTTTTTTCTACTTAAAGCTTATTATACTCCATAACACTGGGCTCTTATTAAACAGTAAGAGCCAACATCCCTTTTTAATTCCTCCCCCATCCTGGTTCCAGCATCTTTTTGCTCTGTTAGAGGCCTTTTACCCCCTGATGTGCCTGCACGAGGGTCCATTAGCCTGAGGCCCAAGTGAAGTGTTTGTCTCAGTGAGTGTTGTTCTCTCTCATGCTGTAGTTCCCGGTGGCATCGCTCCAGAGTCTCTGACCTTCACTCCACTTGATGACATGATCTTTCTCAAGTGGGAGGAGCCCGTAGAGCCAAACGGGCTTATCACTCAGTACGAGGTAGGATGTTCATGGCAAAATTCTACAATCCATGCTAATGCCGCCGCTACATAACAATTCTCTCCAGGTGTAGGACGCTTTTCCACATGCCAATATCTATTTTCTGCAGCCTCCTACGGTACAGTGATTCAAAACAAGAAAAACTGTGCTCCAAACTCCAAAGATGTTTTTTTCTGTATATTGCCCAAACCTGGAGGACTATGCTCAGCCAAGAGAGAGGAGAGGACTCACTTTTCACAGTTCACAGAATTTACTGTACATGTTCATATGGTAATAAAGTTGAGGCACAGACTTTGGGCTGTAATTACATGGGGGACAACCATTTAGATTACTTATTTGCCTAACAGGTGCCTCCTTTCAATGTTTCTAATTAATTATTGATGGTCTATTCAGTACAGACCCTCATAGCCTGGGCTTTTTGCTGTCAAAACCAGAATTGTGTAACAAAACCAGAAAGCCCAATAACGATTTAACATTCATTTATTTGTTTATTTATTTGTGTATTTTAACTTTTTTGGGAAGAATTCCCCTCAAAGTTTCTGACTATCAGCAGCTTAAAGATGCCCTGTTTACCATTAAATTGTCCCCACAACTCATCATTTTTGCCACATCTTTTGTAATTGGTAATGATTTTTTTAAAAGTTTGAAGCCTTAAATGAATATTGACTGCCATATTGCGCATTACAAATAATAAATGGATATTTTAGCAGATATTCTTATTTTAAAATAAATATGTGCTGTTTATTTTGTACAATAATAGCTTTAATGACTCTTGGTGATCCCTTCACACTTCTGCTTTTTTGTCTCCAAAGCTTTAGTTTTAATTTGATTTCCTTCAAAAAACATCTCCTGGTTGAATCCACAAATCTTCCTTTCCCCAAATAAAAAGCCATTAGGTTTTTAAAACCCAATGTTCAAACATCTCTTTAGCAGGATGTTTTTTTTTCTTTGTGGACCCCCTATCAATATACCTACAAATGTTATACACCGTACAGGAAACACTTAGTCAAGACAGTTGCTAATACCAAAAAATTATGTGATTCTTCTATTAAGCCTCACAGTATTCAAAGAACAGATACAACTCCAATTAAAATCGTCCTATTATATATATATATGTAAGGGTTAATGTCCTCCATTAAAGTAGTTAGTCCACAGTTTGTTGCCCTCTTCCACAATCTTCAGGTTGTAAGTTTAGGGTGATCCCTGTTTGTGCATAATGGTGAGACATCATAGTTGATCTAAAAATGTTTTGAGTGTTTTTGCAGCTGGTTTTACATAAGTGTCTAATATGTATACAGTTATGAAATGCTATACATTATTCAAATATAAAGAAGTTTTGTTTTCTAGCTTTCCAGTTTGGCTTTGAGTATAACATGTGCATGTTATACTCTGTTGGCTGAGGAAAACCCCAGATTTGTCCAGATATATGCATTATGCCACCAATAGGACACATCATAATCTGTTTTTTTCCCCCCTGTACCCAGATCAGCTACCAGAGTATTGAGTCCTCAGACCCGGTTGTTAATGTGCCCGGTCCCCGTCGTACTGTGTCCAAGCTAAGAAACGAGACCTACCACATGTTCTCGGGTCTGCATCCTGGAACTACCTACCTGGTGTCTGTCCGTGCCCGGACTGCCAAGGGCTTTGGCCAGACAGCTCTCACTGAGATCACCACCAACATCTCCGGTGAGGTTTGGGGCTGACTGCTGCCTGTCATAGGTCTATGTGTGGAAGTGTGAGTGCGTGACAATAAACAATGTACCTTCACAATGGCAAAATGAGGAAAACATGTTCATTTTCAGTCACCATTTCAACAGAACTATAAAGAAAATCTAACAAAATATGGGAAAGTGTGTGAACGTCAAGAAAAACTGACTAATGACTTTTAATCCCCACCTTTTGAAAAGCTTTTATAGAAATGCTCATTATACTTTCATATTATACAAATGATCTTTTTTATCCCTAAGCCAAACAGCTTTCAGGTTCACATGGGCTTCGTTTAACAGCAAACAAATTAGAGCAAACTGCAAATGTTCAGCTTGAATGGCTCGGGTAAAAACAGCTTTGTTCACATCATCATAGTCTGCGGTTACAATTCAAAATTGACACAGCAGCTACGAAATGACAAAAGGCATCTTTCAGAAGGAAGATGTCACAGGTATGGATCTTGAAATCGGTGTGAAAGTTGTGTTGTAGTAGTTGTAGTGTGAAAGTTGTTTACAGCACATCTTTCACATTGTCCCACAGAAATGGACGAAATAGTTTATCTTCAGTAATTATGTTTACTCTCAAATGTTTTGTTGTGCTGTTAAGCATGCAGTGGGTTTGTGAGAATGGTCTGCTTATCATGTTCCCCTTTTTCTTTATTTCCGAAGTTGAAAAAAAAAGAAACATGTTGCAACATTATGTTTTTCACATGCCAGAATCATATTGTTACCAGCAGTTTACCTAATTTGTGTTCAATCTTTAGGAACATAAACATAGAAATGTTTTTTAACAGATAATCTCTAATAAAGCTGTATGTCAGAGCCCAGGCAGCAAACCAGATAATTGGCTCAGAGGCAAACTCTACAACATGAGAGTCTCGGTCTGCAGCATGCTTTGTTCTTCATGTGTGATGCGATTTCTGAACTTCGTGTTTAGAGTTTGGTTGATTTGTACAATCTCAGTTCCAAAAAAGTGCACACTATGTCTAAGATGTTAAATGCTTAAAGTGAACATTTCATTATTGATGAGAAATATGAGCTCACGATATGTGTCTTGAAAACATCCCCTCTTCTTTTAACAACAAACTGTTAACCCATGCGAAATCAAGACACCAGTTGCTGGACATTTGGGTAAAGAAAGTTGAATAATTTTTTTTCAATTCAAAGTTGTATCTGCTCACCAGTAATAGATCTTATTCATTAATATTTCCAGAAGTCTATTGCCTACCTTGACTCACATATTAAGTTAAGCGACATCACATCTTAATCCCTAGGATCCAATATGACCAATATGATGTAAATCCACAGAGGTCTGTAGGTCCGCAGATTAACATTTTCAGCTCTCCTGAGAAGGCTTTCCAAATGGTTTTGGAACGTTGGTATGTTTGAGAGTTTTTGACCATTTTTACAAAAGTGCATTTGTGAAATCATACATTGATGTTGGCTCGGAATGCGTGGCTCTTAGTCTCTGATTCTCAGACTCCCTTTTATGATATTATGCCCTGTATATGGTGGAATATAGTCTTTTAAGTTGCTTCATAACTTGTTGTATGTTACTAGTAATAGTACAGCTGCTTAATTTTCATAGCTCTGCTGTGATTTAAATATCGGTTTATAAGGCTTCTTTTTTTAAACATCTAATTTGGTAAATCTATCAGGCCGTTTTGCATCCTTTTGCAGTCCATGCCTATTCCATCTGGTTTAGGTGGAGGTCTGTGTGGGCTCACAAACATCACTGGATACAATACAGCCCACTCCGTCACACACTCCCTCCTCCATGTGCTGCAAGTGCTCAGCGAGCAGCTAGCAGCTTTTCCATGTAGGTAGGAAGCGTGACAAAGCTGTACTATAAGCCTTTTCTTAATTAATCGGGTTTAACCACCTGACACGCTGTGGCCCAAAAACTCCTCGACACACCTCGACACAGCTCCATGGAATGCAGATCATATCCTTATTTTATATGCGTGCAGGTTTTTTCCAACACACAGCGACATCCTGCCTCAGAAGCAGTGTTGGGGAGTAACGGATTACATGTAACGACGTTACGTAATTTAATTACAAAAAAAGAGTAACTGTAATTCGTTACAGTTACAATGAGAAAATATGTAATTGAGTTACAGTTACTTCCGAAAATATTAAGAATTACAAATTTAGTTACATTTTTTAAAAAATATAAAGAAAAACCTGATTGACGAAGCGTATTGATTTACTAATATTTGACTGTTTGGTGTTGATGCATGACAAACGTTTATCGATGTCAATGACCTAGCCTAGCGTAGCCTACCTAGCCTACCCAACTCCTCTTTTTCCCGGACATTTCCTACATTTCAGACTAGGGTTGTCAAAAGTATCGATACTTAAAAAAGTGTAGATACTAAAATGTTGTATCCGGATACGACTGACCTGCCGTCGCTGCGCCCCTTGTCTCCGATTTATTTATGTATTTATTTACGTTGTTTATGATCATTAACAAGACGTTAGCCTTGAACTGCTAGCTGCGCCCAATAGCTAATAATAACATGCTGAAATTAATCATGGGTTATTACTCATTAAAACCTTAAAGTAATCAAAAAGTAATCAAAAGTAATTAGTGACATTACATTTTAAAAGTAATCGAATAAGTTACACTACAATTACATTTTAAACAAGGTAACTTGTAACTGTAACGGATTACATTTTTAAAGTAACTTACCCAACACTGCTCAGAAGCAAGAACATTCACCTTTTCCATCCCATAGCGTTTCAGTCAGTGTCATGAATCTGCTCCCTGCTCCACCAATTACCTTTGCCTGCTGCCACACCCACCTCACTCTCGCACTCTAACCTATCAGGAAGCTGACCTGTTCATTACTCCTAATCACTGCCACCTGCATCTTGTTACTAGCTTCTGTGTGTGTGTACTTAAGGCACAGGTCTCCAGACATTCAGTGTCAGTTCGACTGCGATCAGAGAGCACCTTTTTGTTGGCCTTCCTCAAACTAATATCCTACACTCACTTTCCACTTCCCCTTGCCCCATAATCCATAGATATCACCTTCTGGTGTTTATGAACGCATGTGGTTCACACCATGACCATGACCATTTGTTTCTCTAAATCCTCCAAATAATTATCTTTATTGTTGTAAACAACGATGGGAACACTTAACTTTATTGTACCCAGAATTTTGGTTAGGTTTTGCTTCTTTCAGATCTGTCCTAATTACGCTATTAGAGCCTCTTGTATCCGCTGTAGTGGGCTGCTGTTTATAGTCATCATCAGTCAATGGCAAAGTGTGGAAGGCCTGTACACACTCATGCACTATGAACGTGTGTGGGTAATGAATAAAGATAGGTTACTGTATCTTCTCATGTTGGGGTAAAATAAGAAAACTAAAATATGAAAACAGAGGTGCACCAACCACCCTGTTTGAAGTCTCAATTCAACATTTTTTTAGGAAACTTTAAAGTAAATCTGTCTCTTTTCTGCAGCATTTAAATTATTTTTATTTTAAACTCTGGCATAAACATGTTTTTTTCTTTTGCTTTCTTTCCTTCCCTATTCATTCCTTTCTCTTTCACAATACCGCCCACTACCGCCCCAAATCAAATCAACATTAAAACAATGACATCAGCAACTTTTTCACCATCTAAAAATAATTGCCAGAATCAATGGAAAAGACTTAGTAAGACGAATCCATGAGTTCTGACTAGAAACAGGAAATATGACCAAGTGCTCAGGTCTCTGTACTTCCTGCACTGTAAAGAATGTCTGTGAAATAAACATTAATATGGCATAAAATCATGACATTAAAACAAAAACAATGAATCAGTGTATATTTAGAAGGGATATATTGTAAAAAACAAAACAATGAATAATTGGTAATTGGAAAAAGATCATATTTCTTTGTAGAATTGATATGTATTATAAACATAGATAAATTGCAATACTTGAACCAATGCAATACAGTTCAATTTACAATATAGCTTGTTTTAAATAACTAAAATAAACAGTATATTTTACTAATTCAGTGATTTACAGTTAAATGCTGTAGGCCTAACTATGATGACATGAAGAAGTTGATAATCAAACATGTTTAGAAATTAGACCTATAGGCTAGTAGAACTGTAGTAATGGTCAAAAATATATTTTTTTGACTAGATTGATAGCTCTTCATGGGTTCAGTTCCCTATTTTTTTTAACCATACTATAATTATATTATGGTTATAATATCATTTTATCAGGTATTTAGTGTTTTAAGATTCCGTTGATACAGTTAGTGATTAAATACACAGCCCAGAGGAGACATGGGAGATAAAATGATGAGTGAAGAAGAAAAGGAGGTTGGCCCCCCTATTAAGCATAAAAAAAACACTTTAGGTCTCCCGCACACATTAACGCCACATTAGAATTTCAAACTGCAGCTGCAGAAACACAATCTTCTACTAAGGTGGCATGGTGGTCGTCACCATCACCTCACAGTAAGAGGGTTCTGGGTTTGAGTCCCTGGGGGAACCGGGACCTTTTTTGTGTGGAGTTTGATTGGGCATTGTAAAATGCACTTAGGAGTGAGTGGTTGTGTGGTTGTGTGGTTGTGTGTCTCTGTGTCTCTGTGTGCCCTGCGATGGACTGGCGGACCGTCCAGTAGTTGCCCATTGACTACTGGGGTAGGCTCCCCTGACCCCATTAGTGACTAAGCATTCATAAAAATGGAAGGATGGACAAACCTTAACTAAAATAAGCAGAAAAAATCAGTCTTATAATAATGCTTTTACCATTTAATAATGCAGATTATTTACTGATTTTCAGTCAAATTTTATGGGATTAGATGTAAAATAAGGTACCTCCATATATACTTTGCACAGGAAATATAGCTTTAATAAAGACATAGTCATGCTAATTTGGCTGAAGAGGGATGTTGAATTTACCAGTTTAGCAAGTGATGTTATTTTGTAAAGGATTTCAGTTTTACACCATAAAATGTGCAGCTTGTTCTGTAATGTGTTTTACTCTGCTGTATTTTTTACTATAGTATTCAGGCAACCACAGCTGCCAGTTTTTTTCTGTAAAAAACAAGCATTTTTCTTACAGTTTGTCAAGAATAGACTTTAAAACATCTCTAAATGTGTTCAAATCTTTTCAATGTCTATGGCCAAAGTATATCTCTGGCATGTTAGAGCCGTATGTTCCAGCTCCTCACCATAGAAGGTGAGATTGTGTTTCAGATTTCTTGAATCTGAAAGTCTTTCTGAAGAAGTGACACGCCTCAACTCTGACATTTCCTTAAATCCAGGCTTAAAACAGTTTTATTCTGCTGTGTTAATGACAACTGGAAGAATTGTATCACTATTCCAATCCGTCCATCCATTTTCTATGCCACATATTCTAGGGGCAATTCGGATAGTCCAATTAATCTTACATGCAGGTTTTTGGATGATGGGAGGAAGCTGGGGTACCCGGATAGAGCCCATGCACAGTCAACACAGAGAGGTCCGGTTCCCTCGAACTGGCAAACCTCTTGCTCTGAGCCAGTGGTGCCAAATACCACACCACCGTGCTGACCCTATTCCCTTTTGGTTAAGTTAATTAATCTTTTCCATTCATTTAGTTTCCATTTCTTTTCTTTCCTCAGCACCAGTATTTGCCTATGAAGACATCCCTTCTCCGCTGAGTGAATCTGAGAGCACCATCACCGTGCTACTGCGTCCAGCCCTTGGGAGAGGAGCTCCTGTCAGGTACCACTAAAAGCGCTACGGAGCATTAAGGCGTTGTCCTTTAAAATGTACAGAAAACCTTGTCGTGCTAATACAGTTATAATAATACTTTAGCACTTCCAAATGATCAGCTTATGAGTTTGGGTTTTATTTCAAATATTTTATCCATCTAAACTAAAAACTTCCCAGAGTCACACATATACATTTTGCACCATTTATTTGTCTTTTTTCATCCTAAACCTGAGCTTCTGCCTCAGAGGTTTTGAGTGGCTAACTGTTTGAGGAGATGCTTTTCTCAAAGTCAAACATATTAATGACACAGACATTTACAGTGTGCTATTTGATTTGTTGAGTGATGTTCTGTAAGACAAGGTTGCTATCTCAAGACGGTAGGGTTGTCACGATACTAAAATTTTCAACTCGATACCGATACTAGGGAAAATATTCGATACTCGATACCATTTTCGATGCCACAAGGAGAAAACCAAAGACCTTTTGAAATACTTTTGAAAATGATTATCGTATCCGGATACAACGTTTTAGTATCGATACTTTTTTGAGTATTGATACTTTTGACAACCCTACAAGATGGCCATAAAAGTCACAGACACTGGACGCTTTTTCTAATTAAAACACCACTGTTTGAAATATACGTTTTTTTTTTAAATCATATTTTCTCATTAGATACATTGATTTACTGAGATACATCCCTTTGTGTATTTTAGGCCCTGCAACATGAAAAAAGATGAAATGCAGGCATATCAAGGTTTTAGCAATGAGGTGAAAAAAGAATATATCAAGTTCCCTACAGGTGACGCAAGCAGGCATCACAAATAATTTAGGGTAAAAAACGGGCCAAGAATCTTTAGTCTGTCACAGAATAACTAAATTAAAAACATTAAAATATAATGGGGGCGGCACGGTGGTGTGGTGGTTAGCACTGTCGCCTCCCAGCAAGAGGGTTCTGGGTTCGAATCCCGGGGGAACCAGGACCCTTCTGGGTGGAGTTTGCATGTTCTCCCTGTGTCTGCGTGGGTTCTCTCCGGGTTCTCCGGCTTCCTCCCACAGTCCAAAAAAAAACCTGCATGTTAGGTTGATTGGAGATTGGGGAAATTGCCCTTAGGAGTGAATGTGAATGTGAGTGTGAGTGGTTGTTTGTCCTTGTATGTCCTGTGTGTGGCCCTGCGATGGACTGGCGGACTGTCCAGGGTTTACCCTGCCTCTCGCCCGTTGACCACTGGGATAGGCTCCAGTTCCCCCCGCGACCCCATGAGGGAATAAGCGGTATTGATAATGGATGGATGGATGGATGGAAAATATAATGGGAATCTAATGTAATGGAAATGATTTATGATATGTTCCCTCTGCAGTACAGAATGTCATTAAACTGTTCAAAGAAGCTGAAGGAATTTGATTGAGAAGAGCAGAATACTCCAAAACTGCCATTCATGCACAAGGGATTATAGTGGAAAACCTGTAAAAGCATTACAGTACATACATGCATTCATTAATATCACTTAAAACTCAGTTTTGTGTTAAAGAAATCTACTTCATATTAGAGAAGAAGAATCTGGATTACAAATATTTTTTTAAATTTTTTTACATTTCTGTATCGTATAAAAAAAAGTAAAATGCAATGCTCTTTCACAATACAGTGAATATATATTATGTGTTTGAAGTCTTGGATTTTTACTTTTTTTCAATGAGACTGAAACTAGAAATAAATACTGAAACTAAGTGAAAAAAGTGAAAAGAACATAAATTCATGTGTTTATTGACTAATGTTTTATACAATAACGGTGTGATGACCTATTTTTCAGTCACTGGTGTAATCATCTCTCTAAATTCTTTGGAGATTGAAAAAAGGCGTTTAAGAAATATCTGTTTAAATATTTTAAAATATTTTCGTATATTTATGTTTAATATATTATAGTTTCTCTGTTTTTTCCAACTCTTCAGCTCTATTTTGCGTTTTAGTTTTTCTGTACACTAACTGCCTTTCAGATGATGTATATATATATACATATATAATTCCTGAAGTAAATCCATTAATGTCACAGGATATTTATCATTCATCTCAATTTTGTTTGTACTTGTAAAAGTGGCCAAACTCATGTTCTCTTCCAGTGCCTACCAAGTGGTGGTGGTGGAGGAAGATGGTTCCCGGCAGATGAGGAGGAGGGAGGTGGGCACTGTGGACTGTTTTCCCACTCCAAACTCACACAACGAGGCCCAGGCCAAAGGGGCGCCACATTACTACACAGCAGAGCTGGCACCCAGCAGTCTGCCAGAGGCCACACCTTTCACAGTGGGAGATAATCACACCTACAATGGCTATTGGAACAGTCCTCTGGACCCCACCAAGAACTACCTTGTCTACTTCCAAGCCACCAGCAACTTCAGAGGGGTAGGAACGATTCAGCTTTTCATCCCAGACACAATTCTTTTCATGTTTCAGCAAACTTAACATTCAATTTAGATTATCATCTAATCAATCAAAGAAGATTGGCGAAGAGCTCACTATTCAACTTTTGAAAGTGGTACTGAATTATTTAGTTAACCGTGATAAATGAGATCAATCTAATGGACAAAGCTCACTGTGGACCACGAGCTGCCATTGCACTCAAGGAATAATTGCTCGGGCTGTTGTGCCACCGATCCGAACTTGAAAGACACATGCTTTCTTGGATACAGTCTCTTTCTCTTAAAACATAAAAGAAGCAAAGAGACACACATTACCGGGTCATTTTTCTTTCTGTCACATCTGAAAGAGCATCTTTGCTCTTGGAAAAAAGGCAAAATTACCTAAATAATATCAATCAAACTAAAGAGAAACAAATAAAAAAGGAGCAACATGCTGATACTTTCATTTCAATGTCTGTTATATGTATAATTAAACATTATCTTTTGCCTCAGCAGCATTTTAGACCTGATCAAGGTGTGTGGGGTCTAAATGCCCATATTAACTTGTCTAGATAATCTGTTATGTGCTTCTTAGAACCACAATCTCTTTATTTTTATTAAGAATGACCAGATAATCCATCCAGAAAAGAAAATTCCCACACATTCTTTCCTTGGAAGAGCTGTTTAAATACATCGATATAAACTGTTAAAACAGGTGTTAATGTAAGCATTTTAGTATAATTTAGCTTTCTCCTTTTGATTTGACAGCTCACTTTAGTATTCTGGTTTAGTGTAATTACTCTCATCAAGCTCATTCTCTTGAACGCAGGCAGGAAGCTGTTCTCAAATAAACCTCTTATAGGAGGAAAGATTGGAAGCACCTGGTGAACATAGTGGAAAATGTAAATTTGCAAACCTTTAAAATATGAAAGGACACCAATGATGTGCTTTTAGTTTGTTCCTTTCTGCCTTTGTGTCCCTGAAAAAATGAAAAGAAAGAAAAAGTCGTGCTTTTTTTGCCGTATTGATGTCTTGAGGTAGTCAGTTTTTTTGTTTCAATTGAGATGTATTTTTCATTCATATATTTGGAATGGCAATGATGATAATATTAAATGGTATATCAAGCCATAGTGTCAAATTCAATATTCTCATATGCAGATTATTTGTACAATTTCAAAAGTTTTTTATTGAATACAGTAGGGAATTTCAGGAAACAAAAAAAACAAAAAAAAAGTTTTCTATTTATATTGCAAGACTGCCATATGCAGCTACAACTGGAAACTGGAAACTGCATAAACCTATTTTTATATAGTTAAAGCAATTGCTAATGGCTCGTCATATCTGTTTTTTCTTTGTCTGGAATTAGAATGTATCTAATCATTACTCACCTGATTCATCACTAGAAGTGTCAGATTCATGTTCTTCCACAATATGAAAAAAAAATCTAGACTTTGAGTAGGCCGTTCTAGTACATTTATTTTATCATTATTTAACCTTTAAGGCAACTGCCTTGACCTTTTTCTGTAGATTTTTATTCCAATTATTTTTTTTCATCAGGGATAGAAGAACAGTGGCTGATTGTTTAAGTATCTGAAAGTTGGAGTCTGAAAAAAGTATCTCTCGTCAAAGTTCCAACATTTGTATTTGTATTGTATTTTTGAAAAATTCAAAAGGTTCTTATGTTTTTAATATCTGTTATAAAGGGATTCTTTTGTGGATTCTAAAAGGCATATATTTGATGAGCAGTTCCAGTGCTGAGATCTAAATTTAATGAAATATTAAATGCCGTGTGAGGGTGAGGATACTTAAGTATACTGTGTATCTTTGGTCCTAATGCTACTAAACTACTTGCTTGCCTTGACTTTATACTTTAATAAGCTTTGACATTGCTTTTTCTAAAAAAAAAACAAAAGCCTGCGTTGACAGAGGACAGAATTACAAGTGACATACTTCCTGCAGATGCTTTAATAACCCCTATGGTGAGAGTAAATATGACTTATCTGTCACCCTGTTGGAGGTGAGAGGAAATGAGTATCCACTTGAAACAGATTTCCAATTAAAGAAAGGTAAATTGCCAACCGTTTTAGGTGATTTTTTTATTTTTTTATTTTAGTCTCAGAGCACAGATTAGCATAATTACCCATACAGGCTCATTTTACATAATGAGGTAACATTTCCCTGCATTTTCAAGATGGATGTGGCTGTTCAAGTGCAAGTAGTGGAGCCAAGTGACACAGTGAAAGGTTGTGAATGGCTTGGACAGTCGAAGCAGCTCTCACCTGTCGGGACATTTCAGTTATTTTCCCCTCAATGCCAAATTTTAGCTCAAGTTTTAGACCTGTGTTGCATCTTGTAGACCAGGTTGTGGGTTTTGACACACTGCTACAATTAAGAAGCAGTAAGATTTTCTTTGTTCTTTTTCTTTTTTGATCTCGTTCTTCTCCTAATCATATAAAGCCAAATGACTTAACCATGCCTTTTCTTTTATCCACAGGAGACCAGAATAAATTGCATTCGGATCGCCCGCAAAGGTAAATTCATCTCTGAGATTTAAAAATAGCTGGAGATAGATAGATAGATAGATAGATAGATAGATAGATAGATAGATAGA